TACCTCACACAATCCACCATGCTGCCATGGTGAATTCTGTGAGGGGTTAGTACTTCTGCGGTCGGGCCTCTTTATTTATTTTTATATTGGATTATGTATTGTTGTGCAATAAACAATAAAGAGAAATTTTGGTACTAAATAAAAAAAATACCTACATTATTTATCACATTGTAACATATTCATTTATGCAGTTTAATTGTAATTCCTTGATACTATTTAGAAGCTAAAATATTTGAACATGTCATCGGTTTTGTGCTTCGATCAACAGTTGCTATTGTTGATCGAAGGTTTTGTGGCCTTAACATTATTATAATTTAGATGTAAACGATAAGTATAGGTTTTTTTTTATCAAATTTAAAAAAAAAGATATTAATAATCAAAATCTTTATAGGTACCATTTTAAAATCTAAATCTCTAATCTAACACCCAGTTTAAAATAAAAAGATTAAGACGGATTAAGAATACAGTGTTACCACCCCCATTCATCCCGTGGTTGTCGTAAGAGTCGACTAAGAGAGCAAACTGCAGGACGAAATTACTGCAAAGAGAAGAAAAACTTGAAACAAACCCTTTTTTTTTTTTTTTTTTTTTTTTTTTTAACGTGTGGAAATCCCCTCGGACCGTCACCCCTCCGGGGTTTGCGGCGGGGTGGTGTGTCGGACTCGGACCGACTAAAACCACACGGTGTGCCACTCTGCGCCTGTAACAGGAGGGATCCGGGAACAGCTGTTGTTAAGACATCCGGACCCCTCCTAGCGCCAGCCCGCTCCTGGTGCGGGCTCCGTCTCAATGTGGATGTTCCTCTCTTTAGGCGACGTCCGGCACACGCGGACGCCGCCCCCTCGCGGCTGGCCAACTAATGCGGGTGGAGGGGAAACCCACCCCGTCCACCCGCGGCCACACTCAGGGCGGCATGAGGCTGTGATAGGCGGGCCTCCGCCGCCCGGTTCGCCGGCGGCGGATCGGGTCCGAGTGGAGGTCGTCCTCCCGGGCCCTCTCCGCCGCCTCCTTCCGCGAGATTACTACCTCGCAAAAGGTTGCGACCGCGGTAAAACAACTGTCGCTACCGGCCATGGAGCGTACTACGGCCGGTAGCGAGAGATCCACTCCGATGACTGCAGTGAGGGCCCGGCGCTGCGCCGCCCATGCGGGGCAGACCGCCAGCGTGTGCTGGGCCGAGTCCTCACTGCAGTCGCAGTGGTGGCAGGCGGGACTCAGTTCCCTCCTAGCGACCGTGTGCAGGTACTTCCCGAAGCAACCGTGCCCGGAAAGCACCTGCGTCAGTCGGAAGGAAAGGGTCCCGTGCTGCCGCCCTGCCCACTCGGCGATGACCGGCTGGAAAGCCTCCACGGCGGCGAAGCCAGCGCGTGGAGTCTCCAGCCGGAACGACCAACGAGCCATCGTGGCTCGGCGAGCGGCTTCGCGCCACTCGCGCACATCCTCGGGCGGAGGGCGAAATCCGCTCTCCGCCCGGCAGTCAGCCACTCGCCGATAAACCTCGGCGAGCACTTCCGCCTCCAAATCCCACGGGGGAGTTCCGGCCAACGCGCACGCCACCTCCGTCGAAACGGTGCGGTAACCGCGTATGGCTCTGACCGCCATTACCCTCTGAGGGCGCCAGAGGCGTACCCTATTCTGGGCGGTCAGAGCCGCCGCCCACACCGGTGCACCGTACAGTGCCATTGACCGGACAACCCCCGTGTACAGCCGTCTTGTCGCGACGCTGGGTCCACCCATATTGGGCAGAAGTCGCCCTAGGGCGGACGCAGCGCCGACCAGCTTTGGAGCAAGCTGTCGGAAGTGCTCGTCGAAGAGCCACCTACCGTCGAGGATCAGGCCCAGATATTTCATCTGGGCCCGAACCGGTACGAGGACCGAGTTGACCACGATGGAGGCGCCAGGGGGTGGACCACGACGGGGCCCATGGAATAACAGGGCCTCCGTCTTATCTAGGGCCACCCGTAAGCCCAGCGCCTCAATGCGCCCGACCACCAGGGAGACTCCCCCTGTGGCCAGGCGCGCCGCCTCTTGGAAGTTTGCCCCCCGGGCTGTCACGAGGGTATCGTCTGCGTAACAGATTACACCCAGCCCGGGGGGGAAATCGGCGCGAAGGGCCCAGTCGTACCCTATGTTCCACAAGAGGGGTCCAAGAACAGACCCCTGTGGAACACCGCACGACATGGGCCGACACCTCAGATTACCTTCTCGGTCCTCGTACACGACGGTACGCTCCTCTAAATAGTCTGCCACCAGCCGCCTCAGGTACTTTGGCACCCCATGATAGTGGAGTGCTTCCCTGATGCAGCTGAATGGCAGACTATTGAATGCGTTGGCGATGTCCAATGACACCGCCAACAGCACGCCGCCACAGCTCACGGCCTCTTCGGTCACGGCCCTCAGGCGCAACACGGCGTCGACCGTCGAACGCCCCGCCCGAAAACCAAATTGGGCGTCCGACAGATCGGGGCCCACCTCGCAGAGGTGCCGGACGATGCGGGCAGAAAGAACCCTCTCAAACAATTTGCCCGCCTCGTCCAGCAGCACGATGGGCCTATAGGCCGCGACCGAATCGGCAGGCCGTCCCGGCTTCCTCAATAGGACCAGCTTCCCGCTCTTCCAGCACTCAGGGAAGCGTCCCGACGCCAAGCTAGCGTCGAACACCTCCCCGAGGCGGTCTGCCATGTGGTTGAGGGCCAGGGCCAGCACTCGGGCCGGTACCCCGTCTGGCCCAGGGGCGGTGTTCTTGGAACGGATCCGTAGAACAGCCGCCCCTACCTCCGATTCCCGGACGGGCGGAACCCTATACCAACCCGTCAGGCCAGCGTGCTATAGTAGGCCAAAACTTATTTTCTAAGGAGAGGCCTATGTCCAACAGTGGACTATTTAAGGCTGTTGATGATTGATGATGAGTATTTATTACCTTTTTATAATTTTAAGCCTCCAACTAGCTTGCACCTACCGACTATTACTTTTTCCAAAATTTAGACAACTTTTTAGTGGGTAAAAAATTCAATTCCCGAGAGGCAGTACAAAATGCCTTTGAAGAGTTTGTTGCCTCCCGTCCAGCTGATTTTTACAAGAAGGGCATCAATAAACTGCCAATGCGTTGGCAAAGATGCGTCGATTGCATGGGTGATTACTTCGAATAACAGAAATAAAAAAGTTTGAAAAAATAAGTACTTTCACTTATTGCATACAAAACGGCAATTTCATAGGTAAAGAACTATTATATAACTATATAATATACAACTATAACTATATAATATATATATAATATACTTATATATATTTGTGTACTTTGCGATGGATAACATTAGTTGGTCAAATTACTACAAGAAGAGACAACTAGTACAGGGTCAATATTAAGGGCCTAAAAAGAAAAATAAAAGACCTTTAGAGAAGATATTTATATGATACCATAAATATCTAATATTTTTAAGACTTTTAAGATTAACAGTTTTAAGTTATTTTAGAATAAAGAGAAAACCCTCAACGCATTTTCATCCGAAAGTACTGACTTCATAATTTAAAAAAAAGGTGTTTTATAGTACGGCCGCTGAGTTATTACCGATTTGACACAATACATGACGAATTGACAATACTAGTGAAGTGACTGAACCAGTAACCCTAATATCATTTGGGAACAGTTTGTTTTTAAATATTCTAGTATAGTGTGTAATTAAATAAAATCAAAACAAATAATAGTTAAAGACACAGGTTCTTTATTAGGTGGAGTATCCTTGATGGGCGTAGATAATTGGTCGAGGACATATCAAAATAAAACAAATTTGTAAACACTGTTACACATTTTAATGAATAGAGTAGGTACAAGATGTTTTAATAAATGACTACCTATCATTTATTAAAACAATTATTCAGACTCTGAACCAGATTCAAAAAAACTTAAAAAGATACACCTATAACATTGCTTAATTGAGGGAGAAAATTATATTTATTAAATGTTGTTTTATATATTATAAATGTTAAAAATTATACATTTTAATTGTATTTATTTTTAAATCATAGAAAACAGTATTTCTGTCTTTGGATCACACATAAATCTTAAAAATCATAAGATACTGGCAACACAGTGCAATTAGGAGACGCAAAAAAATGGTAGCATTATATTTAGTCTAGTTGCTCGAAGGAATAAGTAAAATAAAAATATCCAAACAAAATAAATATCATATCTATTCCAATGAATTCGGACCGAATACTATCAAGCACATCACTATGAAAACTAGACGCACGATGTAACTTTGTACAAGCGCGCCAAAGAACAAAAAATAAATGTTTTCATATTATTTACAAACTATTTTAAGTTTTGAAACAGAGTTTATTGGAAAATTACTTGATTCTGACATTTTGACATAAAGTTTTATATTAAAGAGGTATTCTAAATCATTCGGCAAATGTGTCGCTCGTGCAAGGTTATATCGATTAATTTAAGAATAATCTGTCAAATCGGTAATAACTCAGCGGCCGTACTATAACCGTATAGATTGTTTCATCATCATCATCAAAAGCCCTTAACAGTCCACTACTGGAAATAGGCCTCTCCTTACAATGGAGGTTTAGATTTAGAGATTAGATAGATTGTTTAGCTTCTAAATAGATTACCCATTGGCAAACTTAAAGAATAAAAAATGCTATAAGAGTTACCTTCAATTAAATGGTAAAAATGTCAACATTAAAGTTGTAAACATAAAATTGCAACTAACCTACATGGTGAAGTAACATACGAGTACTAAACTACCTTACATACCTAATTTTTTTCATGTAATAAATTATTACCCTCTCCATGCGAGTTCTCTTATTGAACTTATATTGGTTTTCTCTTGAAATCTTTTTGTCCTGGCATAGTTACGAAAATCCATATAAAAACCTTTAAAAACTTAATACCCCTTCAATGTAGAAACATACAATACGTAACACGTGTAACACAGAATTTAAATACTTCAAAATCTGATAACACACCTATAAAAGCCTAGTAAACATTACTAGTTTAACCTCAATATCATATTACGCTTGGATTTAATATCTAAGATTAATAACATGCTAAACTTACTGTCGAACTGTTGCGTGGCCTGAGCGAGAAGCGACGCGAACACCCTGTCTGCGAGGGGTGGGGGCTGCGGGGGACGGTCGTCGTCGCTGCTGCTGTACCTGTCGCCTCCCCATTCTAGGGAACGCTGACGTCGAACACCACTGGTGGCCGACGGTACGCTTGGCAACCCCCCAGACAGACCGCTCAGAGAGCCAGCCTTAGCGCGACGACCTGGCCGTTCCATCCTCGAGGTGCTCATGACATCTTGTCACCACATCTATAGACAAAAAAAAATAATTAAGATTCAAGTCTTCAGACTTGTGTAATGTAAATAAATTATATTCATATTATTATCAGATTATTATTTTATTTTCATAGGACCGGATGTTGTTGAGAGCTTTGGGAGACGCCGAAGTCTAGCAGTAAACGTCTTTCGGCTGAGGTGATGACGACGATGGTGATTAGATTACTATTTTTGTTTTATGTACTCGTATACGTATGTACATAGTTTAAGTACACATGTACAATTTAACAATCAGATCATCTATCCTGCCAATGCTTTCTTCAGTGGTCCGATCATTAAATTTGTTTTGTTAAAAAGGTAAAAGTAAAGGAGGTCTCTAAACTGTCTGAAACTTTGGGAAAAGTCTTAATAGAAAATCTATACCTAGTGAAATATTTATTTACGTTTAGGAATAATTTAACGAATTTATTTTTTATCGAGTCGCATCCATCCTTATATTAGTATACAATATTTAATAAAACTGTAACAAAAGCAAATATAAAAACAAAGATGTGATCTTTAAAAAGTGTAATTTAAGTTATATTAAACCATTTTTAAGCTCAGTGGGACAATATTTTATCAAACCTATTATAACGTCGTGAAGGGAAAAGAACAACTGTAATAAAGAGCCTACAAGTCGTTTGGTTAGCAACCCAACGTAAATAGCAAGTTTGCCAGAGGGTGTGCGTGTTGGAGGCCTAATCCAGTGGATTGCGACGCGGTGCCACCCGCATACCACCTCCCACAGACATCATTTATCGTATTGACTTAATTTGTACCAGTTCCAATGGTTTCTCTGTTCGCAACAGTTTAAAATACAATGTTATTGCGGACAATCAGAAAATTAGTGTGTATCGCAGTATTATTGAAACTACTATTAGTCTTGTAACAGTGATTTAAGAAATAAATATTTTTATCCTGTCTAAACCTGTCTAAGAAGTATAATAACTGAAGTTCAATAGTAGTTCCTGTATTTCAATGTTACTTAAGTATATGTTTATTGCATAAAACTGCGTATATATAAAGGTGTTGCAACATTTCAGTATCAGGATCTACAGTTACCCAGTTCAGGTGTTGCAAATGTATGTGAATTTAAATTAAATTACAAAATTAAATAATACGGCCACAATATTTATTGAGTATAAAACACATTATTTGTTAATCACTTTTTTAAACTATTGCTGAATATAAAATGCGATTAAATACATATATAGTAGTGTATAATGTGCTTTTATAGTAAAGGGTGTCTCAGTAAGAGTGCTTTTTTTATATTTAGAATCTTTATTTTTTTCGTGCAAGTGGCAACTCTGAAATTTGACAGCTGTCACCTACGTTTATTGTGGTTTTTTTAAAATGGAGCGCTTTTTGTGAAGAACAACTCGATATAATTGTTAAAACTCATTACAAAAGTTGCGCTCGCAAACCGCTTAAAACCGCTCGCAAACTTCTGCAAATTTTCAGTCGAGAACGTGCAACTAATGTGTCAACCATTCGATGAATGGTCAAAAAATTTAAAGAAACTGGGTCGATTATGGATATTAAGAATCCTTTGCGTCAACGTACCGGTCGGTCTCTTGAAAACATTGTTGTAAACGAGAGTGTCGCCGAAAACCCGAAAACAGCAATTCGGCATCGTTTTCAACAACTTCAAATTTCACGAAGCCTACGCATTGCATTTTGACAAAAGACCTCTACTTTCATGCGTACAAGTTCAGCTAACTCAGGAGCTCAAACCAACAGATGGCGCCGGCAATTCGTTCAATGGGTAATGGAGCAAAGTGAAGTCGATGTCAACTTTTCGAAAAAAGTCATCTTCTCCGATGAAGTGCATTTCCATCTGAATGGCTACGTGAACACACAAAATTGTCGAGTTTGGGGCTCACAAAATCCTCATCCGCAATCCATGAGAAACAAATGCACCCACAACGAGCAACTGTCTGGTGTGGTTTTTGGACAGGCAGCGTGATTGAGCCTCACTTTTTTGAAGGTGTGGTCAAAATTGCAGTGACTGTGAACGGCATTCGTTACAGGTATATGATAACCGAGTTGTTGTGGCTTCAAATGGACGGCATGTTTTAGAAAACATGTAGTTTCAGCAGGATACACCAGGATACACCGCGCATGAAATAATCGACTTATTGCAGCAACGATTTCCAGAACATATTATCTTACGTCAAATGGCAAACAAGATCGTGCGATTTAATTCCGTGCGATTTTTTTCTTAGGGGTTTTGTGAAATCTCGGGTTTATGCGAATAAACCAGAAACAATACCTGAGCTCAAAACAGCGATCCAACGCGTCATCGGTGAGATACAGCCACATTTCTGTGTAAAAGTCATGAAAAACTAATGGCCTGTCATCAGAGCCGTGGTAGCCATTTGCCGGATATTTTATTCCATACTTAATCGAAACATGTATTCTTACAATCCAATAAAAATATCACAACTCTCATAAAATACGTGTTTTTATTTTGAAATGAAAAAGTGCATTCTTACTGAGACACCTTTATATGGTATTGTTAATATTGGGTAAGTTAGTATTGTATTTATATTTATTGCAAATAATAATTAAAATATTTATTAAGGATTTGGCAGACCCTGTCATTTAAATTATCGAATCCTTATTAAATTAATAAACAGACTTAGTTTCCAATGTCATAGTATAATGAGATCAATTACTTAATAAGTGTAAGAGGTGACATGTAACAATTAATATCAACTAATCTTAATCTATTATAAATAAGTCTAATGGAAACAAATTTGAAAAAATTATAACTGCGTATACAAATTATTTACGTCAAGAATTACCGATTTATTTCAAAAGCGGTAATTTAACAATGACTTCATTCGTTTAAAAATATTAAATATACGCTTAAATATATAAATATATAATATATCCATAAATATACAATCGTTTGTAACTTAATTACTTTCTTCGTACAATGTAAATACTTGGGACGTATTTGAAACTGCCAATTGTTAAGGTTAACTGCACACAGTTCTCATTTCGTATCGACAGAATAAACAGTAGGGTTTCATTATGGATTCGTCGACGCTCCATAGAGATACGAATTGTTCAGAACTTGTTGGGATTTAATAAAAAATTCAATCAATCTGTCTTTGTTGATATTTATTAATAAATTGAAATGCCTTCATATGTGTCAGCTTACACCAAAATTAATTTCAGAAAGAGATTCACTGAAGCGATTATATTAATCTATCTACATTATTTAAAACACATGTACTAATTCATCACGATTGTTAAAAGTTGTCATCACAGTAGAAGGAATAGTTATATCATAGAAGTACGATTTTTTTACAACACGGACCAATTTTCCACTGCGTTTTGGACTTTTTATTTGCAAATAAGCGATTGAAAACCTCCTTTCTAAGGAGAGGCCTATGTCCACTAGTGAAATATTTTATGTTTTTATGTAGTTTTAAAACTGAAGAGTTAATTTAAGTGTTTTAATCCCTTGGTTAAGTACAGAATTAGTCAATGTTGCTTCGTTTAATGTTTTAATTTAGTTTTATGCAGTTGCATTTTGTATTGAAACTGAAAGATTTATTTAGAATGTAACTAATTCGATAACATACAAAATTTAATATGTACTCGACTAAACGCCGCAAGGTGCAACTATAAGTAATTACATAGAATTGAACATCAATTTATCATTTTCCCAAACTAAAGAGATATACTCACCAAAACTGATTATAATGATTTTAGATATTGATATAGATCTAAACAAATCAAATTTTATACAATTCAAACTTTTTGACTGCTGTGCGAATTTCAAAAAGACTAAAGTTATTAGTAGCTTATCTTTTAACGATTTTCATTTATTAACGTTTAGTTTATATTCTGTTCTATAAATTACTACTGCTTAATAAATATATTTTTTGTAATTTAAAGATGGCTACTATTTACTCGTCCGTGACACAACGTTTATACTCGTAAATAAGTCGTTTGTAGCGGCGTAGCCATCACGAGCAAGCAGTTGCTTCAATTTAATATTTGTTCTCATTGTAAACGAATCGAACATTGATATTTTAAACGAAATTATATTGTAATAGTAACAGTTTCAATTTATGACATTGATAATCGTATTACAGTAATTCATTGTCATATTTAAAATATACAAGACGTGTGCGGTAATTTGCTTTCTAATGAAAACATTTTTGTTCTTAATTGCCTAAAACGTTCTAGACACATCCTCTACTTTTTTTAATGGAAGAGTAGGCAGACAAGCGGAGCACGCTCTTTACTTAAAGGTTAAAGGTCGTGTCGGTCTGGAAAAACCACAGACTATAACTTGTGCCACAGATTAGTTATGTAAGGCAAAAAGTGTCTTAAAAAGCGCACAGTGTTGGAGCGCCAAATATCCAGGTGATGGGGATGAAAATTTTGCTGTGTGGAATGATGGTGGAAAGTTACTACGCCTAGGCCGGTACTAGTACGAACAATTCTTAGGAGCACTCTCCATGACAGATAATGCAGAGTGACGCTACATCTCTACGTAACGCAAGGGATCGAGCCGATCGGAGATCTTTTGTCCATCGACGATTCCAGATTCGTTTCTCGAATAAATATATATTGCTTGTAATTTTTAGCTCAAAGAATGATGTTAATAAGCACTAACTTTTCTTGGTAGGTATATATATCATTTATAGGAAAAATGTTTCCTGCTTTATAATATTGAACCGAATGAAATTTCCAAAAACAATCGTTTACAAGGTCGGTACTCGAGCTTACTTTTTTTGTAAGTTGAGCTTTCTATATACCAATTATAGTCACTCTTGCCATTTCTGACATCCGGAGACGCGGTAGTCTCCCTGCCGAGACAAGCGAAGCGCAGGGGCACTACTTACTTTTAACTACTCACTACTCACCTACTTCGTCGTTTTTTTTGAATCCGCATAACTTGGGTTTGGATTAATACCAGATAAACTAAAGTTTCGAAATTAGATTTTAATAGT